TGCTGCAACGAATGAGTTGGCACGTATGCATTTTTTTATTATGGTACCAGACAGTGGGCTCTTGTGGCATGGAGACATTGCAAATGTGACAAAGCCATATATTATGAACGAGACAGGCAAGGCTTTATTGGAACTTCAGCTCCTGAGCAAATGGGAGCTAACAGCAATCAAAGAGATAAACAGACAACTTTCTTCTCAAAGGGAGCAACAGGCTTTTATTGATTTTTTTTTCAGGAGTGAGCTAAAGTTTGGTAATTGTCTGTTAGTCAAGGGCAAGATTTCAAAAGATGTTTTCCTTCTTGTACACGGGTACTCCAGCCTTGAGATTTTCGGGCTAGTGAGTATTCAACTTAACCTGGGAACTGCGGAGTTACTCATTGTCTTGCATAAACATCCTGACCTTACTTAAGGCTGAGGGACTCTAGGTATCCGGAGCTGCTGATAAAGCTCTCGGGCAGAGGAACCCAGATCACCACGTGCTATAGCCTTGGCAAAACATTTTCTATGATCATTGTGAAGAGAAAAGCACAATGTGGCCCAAAGTTTTCATCTCATTTTAGTGTCCATCAGACATAAGTAGACACCATCGAGGAGTCTGTGTGTGTGTGTGTGTGTGTGTGCATGAGTGTGTGTGAGTGTATGTGTGTGTATGCATGATGTATAAGTGTGTATGTACATGTGTGTGACTGTATGTGAGTGTGTGTGAGTCTAAGATTCATTTACTTTTGCGTTCGGTGTATGAGTATTTTGCCTGTTTGTGCATGCAGTGGCCACAGAGGCCAGAAGAGGGCATCAGATCTCATAGAATGGTTGTGAGCTGCCCCATGAGAGCTGGGGTCCTAGACTGCAGAAAAGGGAGAGAGTGAACTGAGTGCCAGCATTCATCATTCTCTACTTCCGGCTGTGGGTGAAATTAACCAGCTGCTTCCTGCTTCTGCTGCCATAGTAACTGCCCTGCCATGATGGACTGTATCCGTGGAACTGTGAGCCACAACAAACACTTCCTTCTTCAGGTTTCTTTGATCAAGCATTTTGTCACATCAACAAAACAAAATGCAAGCTCTGAGAATCGGAAGTGGACACAAAATCCCACCCCTACCTGAGACGGTATTTGCAGTGGATATCTATCAGGAAAGGGGAAATCTGTTGTCTCCAGTGGAGTATCACTGGGTATGCCAACTACATTCCAAGAGAGGCCCCATACTCAGCAGCAGGTGGCTTACACAAAATGTGCTCCATGTGTTTGTGTGTGCTTCTGTTTTGCTTGGTTATGTTAACATCAAGGGGTTTTGTTTCTGTTTTTCTGAGAGAGAAAAGAAACATGAAGTTGGATGAGGGAGAGAATTTAATCAAAATATAACATATTTAAAAGCCAATAAAAGCCGGGCGTTGGTGGCGCACGCCTTAAATCCCAGCACTCGGGAGGCAGAGGCAGGCAGATCTCTGTGAGTTCGAGACCAGCCTGGACTACCAAGCGAATTCCAGGACAGCCTCCAAAGCCACAGAGAAACCCTGTCTCGAAAAACCAAAAAAATAATAATAATAAAAGCCAATAAAATATTTAAATATGGATGTTACCTTTAAAATATAGTTTATGTGAGGCAAACAAACAAACAAAACTCCTAAAGTTTCTCTTTGACTCCTTTGGCCCAAATCCAAGAGACTGCTCAGCAGGTTACCATTTGTTCAGGAGCTATAGCACACAAAAGGATGTCTGAAAAATGTTTCATCAACCAAATTAGGAAACCAGAAGCAACGAAAGCTTTCCATTTCCACCTAAGTTCCACCATTGTTTTTTTGAAACAGGACCACATGTAGCCCAGACTGGCCTTGAGCGCACTGTGAGACCAAGACAACTAACTGGCCTTTTGCCCTTGACCCTCAGAGTTCACCTCCCAAACGCTGGACAATGTATGTGTGTCACCACACCTGCCTTATCCCTTATTTCAGGGTAAAATTTCACTGTATCTCCCCTTGACCCACACAATAATATGATTTCCAAACACTGTCAAGTAACAGAATTTCATAGCTGTTCAGAATAAACAATATACTTAAATTTACTTGAGGTTTGTGTGTGTGTGTGTTGTGTGTGTGTGTGTGTGTGTGTGTGTGTGAAATTGAACTGATTTGTGATTGACTCTATGTTGTAATTCCTTTTTCCTCTAGCAATCTGGAATGTGTTCCGAGCAGAGCGGCACTGTCTACTTAAGAAATGTCATTGATTATTGAGCGCTGGATATGTTTTCAGCACTGTAGTCATAATTCTCTAGACTCAGAGCTTTCATCTCTAAAATAGAACCGAGTTGCTGTAGCGTCCGTTTCAAAAGAGATCACCTTCAGAACTTGGACTAATGCATTTCTGTTTTGTTGAGTTGGCAATTACTCTCAGCACGGAAAGACTGATGACTCCTCAAATATCCAGTCTCCCCCGGGTTCAAAGCTGAAACTTTTGTAAAACGCAACAGTGCTGCCAGTTCTCGGGGTTCACTTTTTGTTCCCTGAAATCCAAGAGGGAGCCTGACTGAGGAGGTTTCGGAGGTTTGCCGTAGCCTTTGCTCGGTATGGGGCAGAGTTCCTGTTCAGTGGCATGTGTATCAGAAACTTTGCACGCCTCAGTGCCACAGGGCTTCCCCAAGCAACTGCCTGGTTTAGAGCCATAGGAGCCATCAGAGAAGCCCCAAACCGGGAAAACCCAAGATGGAACAGGGCATGCTCAGGAAAACTTTGTGCAGTTCATAAATAAGCTGGACCAAAACATTGTGTTGCTGAGAAAATGATAAGTTAATGCGGGTGGGGAGATGACTCGGTCAGTGGAGGGCTCGCTTTGGAAGCACTGAGTTCAATGGCAAGCATCCACGAGAAAAATACTGAGCATGGCCACTTGTGTTTGTAGTAATCTCAGTGCTAGAGAAGCAGAGACATGTCAGTCTGGCCTCCTGGGAGAGTTCTAGGTCACTGAGGGGCTCGGCCTCAAAGCAAAACAGATGGACAGTATAGAACAATCCATTTGAGTTTTTAAACTTTTAAAGCTTCGCTTATGGCACTTCTTTTGATTTAAGTTTTGACCTTAGTCGTATCTATCCGCCTGTATCTTGTGACTTGTTTACGTAGTGATGGTCTACCACATCTTTTCTTGGTAACAGAAAAACAACAGCTTGATGGGAGGCATTGCACCAATCAACAATGCTTACACTGCCCAGCACAGCATGCTGGTCTCCTGGTTCTCAGGTACCACTGCTACAGAATGTGCTGAGTTTTAGGGGCCACACAGACAGTGGGAGGCGCAGCAGAGAGGTGTAGAGCCTGCACCATTTCTCTTTTGTTTAGATAAATTCGAACTCCCTAATGCTCACTAGTCCTGAAAACCTTTGTAAATGCAATCTCAGGTCTATTCAACCACTTTTCAAGACAACTCAAATATAAGACGTGAAATACTGTGTGTATGCATTCTTTGTGTTCATAAATCCACTCCCAAGGTACTTACAGCTGTGAAATAGTAAAGAAAAAGTGATAATCAAACAGCGATAGCAATAATATCCATTATCTGTTATTGGAGCCCCAGTGGTGCAATCAGTTATCTTGCAATTATTAAGTGAGTATTAATTATTTACAGGGCTCCTGAGGTTAAGAACAAGAATAAAGGCAAAACAACAACAAAAACACTTCAACTCTGTTAGTACTTTAAAGCACTTACAGTTTGACAAAGTTGGTGAAATGCACATACAACTTAATAATTCTTTAAAAATTTTAATTATATATATATATATATTTGGTTTTTACAAGACAGGGTTTCTCTGTATTGTTTTGGAGGCTATCGGTCCAGCCTGGCCTCGAACTCACAGAGATCCACCTGCCTCTGCCTCCTGAGTGCTGGGATTAAAGGCGTGCGCCACCAACGCCCGGCTATATTTTTTATTTTATATATTCTTAAGGGTTTTTTGGGGGGTGTCCATTTGCTTGTCTTTTTTGCTTTGTTTTGTTTTGTTTTTTTTGAGACAGATCTTCATTTACCAGCCAAGGTTGTCCTGAAGCTTACTGAATTTCCCAGTCTAGGCTTAAACTCACGGCAAATCTCCCGCATCAAACTTTCCAGGTGATTGGAGTACAGGCATGACCCACCAGGCATAACTTAGTATTGATTTTTCAAATATTTTATTCTACATGTTTATCTAAAAAAACAATTTTTTCACGTTATTCTCTTTAAGCTCACGGTATAATGATGGGCACATGAGTTATGTTAGAAAGGTGGAAGGGTCCCAGGAAATGGCCTCAGATTAATTATCCTACTACCTAAGGAACTCAGATGAACATTCTCTTTTAAGAAAGAAAATATGCATTATTATCAATCTGAAGGAAACCACTCAAATAATTTAAAGTTTCCTGGTTAACCATGGGGAAAACATAATAAATCCATAATTCTCTATAAACTTCTAAAAGACTCACCACACACATATACCACACACAAACACACACACTCTAGACATACATGCATACCACATACATACCACACACATGCACACAGATATGCACATACCCCTGACAACATGCACACACACATGCATGTGCTTGCAAACATGTATACACCACATGCACATACACATGCACATTACATACATACCACATGCATGCACACAAATATACATGCACCTTAGACACACATGTACACACACATAAATGTGCTTACAAACATGTATACACACCACATGCACATTGCATACATACCACATACACACTACACACATGCACACAAATAATACATGCACTTACATGCGCGCACACACACACACACGCACACGCACACTTGTTGCTTTTAGTGGAGGATCAGTCTCGATTGCTCTCAGACCAACAGAATTCTTGTTTATATTCCTGTCTTCCCCAGTGTTCGGCTTCCTAAGAATCTATTCTTCAAGCACAGAAGACTGCCCTAATCCCCCTCTCTGGCTACTGGAGTATGTCCAGAACTTTTCAGTAGAAAGGGACCTTTCTTCCTTGATCCCAAGCCAGAGCTGAAACAATCTTGCAGGACTTAAAGGGCTCTGCATCTTCCCATTACCACCAAAGTCTCGTTCAAAGGGGCACTTTGGGCAGCAGGTGGAGTTATAATTATAGATTAGAAAACAGCAACATCAGCAGCTGTCACTTCTGTTTGTTCCCAGCTATAACTGTCATCAGTGGGCAAACTGGCATAAACAGGCCTCTGCAAGTGGAAAAACATTTAACCCTGGGCTGGCTACATGCTGAAACTTCATAGCAGCCAGAGAACGGGTGGAAACCTGACAGTCACGGTCCACGCGTGAAGGGTGGCACCGGAGCCCCGATCTGAAGGCTCCTCTTCAGTGAGAGCCGACATTTGAAGATTCCCTTCCCGTGGAGGACTCCAAAGAAGCAGGTTAGTGCTCAGTCAGCTATGCACTCGAACGGTGACCTTGGTGCTCCGTGGGCTTAGGGGTTTTGACAGAGCCTAAACAGAAGGGTGATGGAGCAAAAGCAAGAAAGGGAAGACGGTTAGAGCATGGTGTTTAACACGACCCGCCAGGAGAACAGCTGGGTGACATCGGCTTCATTTGGTGTGTCCCTCTTCCGTGTCAACTGTGTTCTCCTTAGGCAAAGAGACAAGGTAACGGTGGGAAAGTGAGGCAGGCTTCGTGACAGGCATCCCATCCCTTTGTAGGGCCACTTACTTATGCAAAAGGCCTTGGTTTGGTTTTTAATTAAAATAAATAATTTTGGAGGATAACTCAGTGATTTTGCTGTTGTTGTTGCTGCTGCTGCCGCTGTGAATTCAGCTGCCAGTTCTTAGAGAAAGCAGACAAATTACAGTTAATGTTTGCCCATCTGAATAAGACATTTTCTTGCTTGTGATAGAATGTATGATGTAGATTGCTCTATAGGAAAAATATCTATGGTGTGCGTGTGTTTTAATTTGACTTAAAAACTACTACATGTTCTCAGTCTGAGTCACTCTGTGAGAAGCGCCACATAGTTCCATTTGAGAAAAGTTAGCATTTTAAAGACATCTCATTTTGTTCGCATGTGACCTGCGCCAGCCGGTAGCTGAGCAAGATTTCTACCCAAAGGTCAGCTTTGCATTATGTATCTCACAGTCCGTGGATTAGCCCAGTGAGAAGCAGCGGTATAACAAAGAGCTCAGTGAAAACCAGGCTTCAGGCTTCGTTCTCATCCTGCCCACATCCATGGCACATATCCAGTACAAGGAGTCCTAATTAACGGATGCACTGGGGATGAAGCTCAGTGGGGAGCATGCTTGGTTCCCATGCACAAGACTCGGTGCCTAGTAAACTAGACACAGGGGCATAGTCTTACAATTCCAGCACTCACTGGATCCAAAGCTCAAGGTCATCCTTGGCTAAATACCACATTCAAGGCTGCTGTCTTACAACCGAAAACAAATGACTCATTTTGTTCAGCTCCAAGCAGAAAGTCAACCATCTTTAAGCATCTCACTGAGACTTTTCAAAGGGAAAATGCTGCAGGGTTACCCAGCACACGGGCTCCTTTTGAAAGGTACAGAATTCTGCCTGTGCATCTGGAGAGCCACTCAGATGCACATCACACCCAGTAGGACTACCCAGAGTAACCTATCAGTTAAGGTGCTCTAAGGGCCTGACTTCTTCCTTACAACAACTCTTGGTTTCCAAGAAGTAAGCTGTAACTTTTTCCTCTTAACACCGGCCCAAGCCATGAGTATGGCCATTGCTTTTAAAAAAAACATCAGTTTAACAAGCCAGTTTCCTAAATCCTCCCTATTATTAAGAAGTAGCCTTACAATGTGTCTAGCATATCACATGTGTTAATTTTGGTATTTATTGGGCAATAGCTCAATAATACTTATAAATTACAGAAATTTTGGGGCATTTAAGAACACTCTTTCCAGAGACCACCTTCCTCCCCTTCTGTGCTACAAGGTCTGGTACTGAGACTCTAGATAGTGTCTCTAGACAGTGGTATCTACAAGGAGTGTGGGAAAGCAGAAGAGGGTGGGTTGGCTGATTAATGGCCAGCTTTAGTTTCCCTTGATTAGAAAAAGAAGCGCATGCCAATGTTGACATCAAATGTTATTTTTCACCCATGTTTTGTCTTCTTGCTCTTCTAGAACCAAACTATCCGAGATGACTGTCACTTACTCCAGTAAAGTAGCCAATGCAACTTTTTTTGGATTTCATAGGTTGCTCCTCAAGTGGAGAGGCAGCATCTACAAGCTCCTGTACAGGGAGTTTATTGCTTTTGCTGTCCTTTACACAGCTATCAGTTTGGTGTACAGGTACTTTGGCTTTGCATGTCTCCTTAAACGGCCCTCAGATGTTATGTAAGAATACAGTCTCAAAACTCTGATGCCCTTGGTTGCCGCTGGCCTTTGCATTACGTCACTTCTCCCTCTGCATGACCCTCTCTGTTGTTTCCTCTTCGGGACAGGGTATTTTAACCCACACCTAGCCATGTATTAGGAGTAAGCGATAGCAACCGTCAGAGGCAATGGGCTTGCCTTCCAGCCGACCCTGATGAGGTGTCAGCCATGCTGTTTGAGGCATACACGCCCTTATCGTGTGATAATTAATGACAAAGTCCCACAGACAAATACTTTTGTGTTTCTCTGAACACTGTCATTCGCAGTTTGAAATTGTGACCTGATACATATTGCAATACCATATGGAGTTAACATATGGGTGAATAGAACTTACCAGGCAGCTTTCTTTCCTTTAGTCTGAATGGTAAGTTCTGACCCGGGACTTTGTTCTCAAACCTAACCAGGGCCTCGACAAAAGGATTAAGACCAGAAGACTAATTTGCTCCCTTTATGTCTTCTGATTTCAGGACATCGTTTTTTTGCAAAAGGAGGTATTTATTCTTTATAATGTCAAGATGTGTTCCTGTCAGGTTGAGAGACACTTTGAGGGTTAACATATCTTACCTCTCAACAGCTAAAAATTAGTCTTAATTAAATTTCATCCATATGCTAAAAAATACAGAGCTTTATGAATCATTAAACAAGAACTGAATAATTGGAGGAAGCTAATAGGGAAGCTTCGGGTTTTTGAGGCCGTATTTCCACCTTAGCTAGGTATATAGTGCTTCTTCTACCACAGGTGAATGAACTGTGAGTCACCGTCTTACCTACATCCTCTCCTGCAGTTCCAGTCTACTTGGGAAGGAGGGAGTGTTCATTTAGTCAGCTGAGCACTCCCCAAAGCAAAATGGGAACATCTATTTTGTTACCGGTCAAAACTTCCATCCTGGGCCTGAGAATGTGAGTGCTAGCCTAGCATGCATGAAGTCCTGGGTTCATTTCCTGGCATCACATAAAGTCGGCCATAACCCTTGGCTACTTGGGTTATAAGAGATCCTGTCTCAAAAACAAAATACTACGATTCCAAACAAGTGTGCAGTTTAGAATGGATTTCGTGGGGCTGAGGATTTGCTTCAGTGGTAGAATGCATGGTGAACAAGTGCTAGGCCCTGGGTTCAGCCCTCAGCTCAAAATAACCAAAACAAAAAGCGCCAAGGCAAAAATGGCAAGAATAGATTTTGTCAAATGTGCTCACAGACCTCTAATACTTGTCAGATATCTTATATATTAACAGCTTAGTCATATGTCACAGGCCTTCAGAATATGAAGTGGTGGGAGATTAGTGGTGTTTGCTATCTCACTAGCTTGTTTTTACTAATGTGAGTTGACTGTGACCACAGCTTCTTAGAAGAAAAAAGCCCCGACAATAGTTGATGCATTGCCAGAAATGTTCCCTGGGGTCTCAGCTTTTGCCCCAATGTCAAATTCATCTCCCACCCAAAAGTCTACATAGATTTTTGTCTTTCTGAAAATCAAAGAATGCATGCATTTATAACAATCACTCTAACTTGGTTTCTCCTTTTTTAAAAGTCTCATTGTAAATTATTAGAAAAGTAGATTTAAAAAATGTATTTATTTCATGTGCATTGGTGTTTTGCCTGCATGTATATAAAGGGGCCAGATCCTCTGGAACTGGAGTTACAGACAGTTGTGAGCTGCCATGTGGGTGCAGGGAATTGAACCCAGGTCCTCTAGAAAGGCAGCCAGTGCTCTTAACTACTGAGACATCTCTCCAGCCCAAGCCAATCCTTTTTTATCTTAAAGATGTATCAAGAACTGTTGAATTAATAGGTCAAGGAAGTCAAGCAGACCTCGGGGAAATATAAGCAGAGTTCATTCTTGTACCTACTATAGACTTACACTGATTGTATCTCTTCCAATTTGGAGGAATTTGACAAAATAATCTCTGTGGTATTTTCTAGCTAAGAAACTTTCTGTGTCTATTATTTCTTTGGCCAATTAGTATTAATACCACCCATTTGGGTACTATGTTTGAAGATATGTTTTTAAATTTTATTTATATAATTGATTTTTTTTATCTCCACAACACCATAAACTGAAAAATCTGAGACTCCTAGAGCCTTGACAATATACCCAGTCTAAATCAATGGCAGAACTGTGCTATACCCTGGCATGGCCTAACTGACCCTAAGAGTTACACTTTCCGCTCTAAATACTCTTTGACCATTTCTACTTGTGTATCGGAAAAGCCACTCTCTGTCTGTGACTTGTCATCAACATGACCACCACAGACCTGTGAATCCAGCCAGCACCTCTCTTGTCACTTTTTCCTGATTCCGTGAACTGTGTTACCTCATCCAAAGCTGAGACCGGAACTCCACAAACCCCTGGACCCCAAATTCTTTCTTCATCTGTCCCAGCTCCCGAGAGTGTCCCAGCTGCAGCCCCATTGGTTGGACACTGTTCTTCTGCTTCTATATCAACATTCCACCCAAGGGAACTCCTGACACCTATTCTGGAGGATCCTTCCCTAGATTTCTTCATCCTTTAGATGAACTGCACTATTGATCTATGCAGATTAGTATGTGGCTTCTCCCACATTTTGTTAATTACTACTAGCCCGCCTTTTGAGATTTCTATGGTCTTTGAATTCCCTCCCTGTAAAACATAACAGTCTGGTTATGGGCAGGTGTGTCTAGCAATCTCAGAAAATGAGTTTGGGGAGGTTAAGTCAGAGCTACAAGAAAAGTTTTGAGACGGCCAAATGTAACAAAGAAAGTTTCTTTCCACCTTTAAGATTAAATCAGTTTTATTTATATTCCAAATAATTGTGAGTGTTAAACAGTTATATTTTGGCATGGGATATACACAATCTAGAATGTGCTAATTGACTTAATTAAATTGATTTAACACATTCTAGACTAGATCAAAATGTCTAAAGTTGTTACTCAATAATGACTTAATAACTCTGACCCACCAACTCAATAACCTCTTTCTTTTAAGTATTCCTGATGAATAATTGAAAAGTGGAAACCGGGCCTGGTGGTACCAGCCTGTAACCCCAGCTACTTGGGTGGCTGAGGCAGCAGAATTACATGTTCAAGACCTACTTGATCTACAAAGAGAGCTTAAAGTAGCCTAGGTAACTTAAGTGAGACCCTGTCTCAAAAATAAAAAGGAAAAGATCAGGCTGGAATTCAGTGGGTGTCTGCCTGGCACCCGAGCTGCCATAGCCTTGATCTTCAGTGGAAAGAAAAACAATACACTCTTTTGTAACATATCTTTCTCCAAAATCCAACGAATCAATTATATAAAACTTTAGAAATATAAAGTTTTAATAAACAAAAATGGTTAATAAATCCTTTATTTAACGGCCAACAGACTTATGTGCTAAAAACTCGAATACTTGAAGCACAAAGCAATTTAAAAAAACATCGGAGACACACCTGTTTAAGAAAAAAGGAACAAAAATATAGAGTTCCTTTAAGCAAACAAACAAAAACAACCTGAGATTATTTGTGCTTAATTGTTTGCACTTGATGTCACCTGCGGTGCAGGTGCGGAAGTACCATATCATAAAGGGCTGTGCGTTTTATTTTTGCTCCAGATTGGTACTTACAGGAGCCCAAAAACGTTACTTTGAAAAATTATCAATTTACTGTGACAGATATGCTGAACAAATTCCAGTAACCTTTGTGCTTGGTAAGTATAGGTCACACGCAGAATGCAGCCACACCAGCTGTCACCGTTAGATGACACAGATGACTGCATGAGAGTGCTTCGGGGCTGAGAGGCATGCCGGGAAAGCCGCTGCTTGCGCTGGCACACGGCTGTCCCTACAGTGTGCCTTCCGGGCTGCTTCCTGCTAAATTAACATCCAACAGTTTGAGGTCATGATCTGCTACCGGACAATTAAGCTTTCCCTCCACTAACCCTCCATTTTCACAGTCAATATTTGAGTTCCAATGCCCACTTGCTGGGTGCCCTGACCTTGCCAGGCACACACGAGGGCAAAATCATACGGTGTGGATGATAACATCCTTCCAGACCTCGAACCCCTCAAAAGGCTAAAATTCTGCTAAGTGTGTCCGTTGAGGTGTCTGCTGTAAGAAACGGCATGGTGACTTCCGGTTGTCCCACAGGGTTCTACGTCACCCTGGTGGTGAACCGATGGTGGAACCAGTTTGTGAATCTGCCCTGGCCAGACAGGCTCATGTTCCTCATCTCCAGCAGCGTCCACGGGAGCGACCAGCATGGGCGCCTGCTCAGGAGGACGCTGATGCGCTACGTCAACCTCACGTCCCTGCTCATCTTCCGCTCCGTGAGCACGGCGGTATACAAAAGGTTTCCCACCATGGACCACGTGGTCGAAGCAGGTACTGCGCACGCGCGTTCTCCTCCTGGGCTCTTGTATGTCAGGCTGAGGAGCTACCAAACGGCTCTAGAAAGTACCTGAGTGTATTCGTTGAAGAAATGCCTGTGGGCCAGAAGAGTTCTTAAAGGGCTAAAATGAGTAAGGTAGGATTCCTGCCCTCAAGGAGTTTACTTGGGAGGCAGAGAAGTGGCTGAAAGTCAAGATGTCTTGACGTAAGTACAATGATGATGGTCATAGTCGTTAAAGCAACCTTTCGTATGTATTACCTTATAATTTTCCAGTACCTTAGGGCAATTGTTTTTATTTCCTTCTGAGGTTTCTTTTTTCTTTTTTCTTTTTGCTTTGTTTTGTTTTTTGTTGTCTTTTTTTTTTTTTGAGACACATTATTACTATGTAGCCCAGGCTGGCCTTGAACTCACGGCAATCCTCCAGCCTCAGTCTCCCTGGAGGTGGGATTATAGACGGGCAAGCTACATGCCTAGTTTATAGCTATTTCAGTTAGGTCTTCAAGACATCACGGAGGATTTCTCAAGCTGTCCTGAATCGCATAGCCGGTTAGTGAAAGGAATGCAATTAAAAGTCAGAAACGTTAAGATGATACGTCTTGAGGTGAAGTCAGTTTCATCCAGGTAAACCCTCCTTCCAGATGTGCTCGTCAGAGGCTCTCTGTGTGGACCTGTTGCCTCTCCAGTGTTTCATAGTAGACAGTAGACATAGCTATTCTATCTGGGTTCTTGGGTCTAGTGTGCTGAAAATGAGTCATTTGTGAAGGATGGTGCTCTTTGCTATGAAATATTTAATAAGAAGCTGTTGATCCAGTGTTCTGTGACGTGAGGATTACTTGAGGACATTCTTGGCCCATGTTGATGATCTGAGAACTCAGAGAATTCTACCTTCATTTAGGCTACAGCCTCAAATCAAATTGTAATTTCCAGTTTCATCTTTCTGCTAAGATGAATATTGTCTACTTTTTAATTTGTTGGCCTTTTTGGCAGTGGTATGTGTGTGGTGGGTTTTTTATGGGAGACACAGATAATAACTAAGTATAGGCCGAGGGTTGGAATTCTGACACCTTCACTATTCACTAGTTACATGACATTGTTTAAGTACTTAGCTTTTCTGTGCCTCAGTATCCTCATCTATGAAATGGGTTTATACTAGCATCTATGTTATATACCTTGTAGGTTTACCATGAAAACTAAGTAAGTTAATGTTCACAAAGTGCTTGGAGCAGCTCCTAACACCTGGCGAGTGCTATATCAGTTCTCACTACTCTAAAGGAATCATCCAGAACAGCATAGCACAAGTTGGGGTTGGGGAAAGAAAACAAGGGTGTATGTGAGAAAGTTGTAGGGTGCAAGGAATTAGTGGAGGATCCAGGCAGAAGGTTGAGTTGCCTGGCAAATATACCAGGTGTATTGTGTGTAGCACCAGGAACCAAAACCAAATTAACTTCCCACTGTCCTCCAAAGGTAAAGGTAGGATACTGCTTCAGAATAACTAACATGAATTGCTCCTTAGCGACTTCAGTTTCTTACCCTAATATACAAAGAGCATTAAAGACTGGCCTGCTCTGCAGAGGCAGAAAAATAAACCAGGAAAGTCGGGGTGAAGGGAAGTGCCACTTCTCCAGTTCTGACGCATCTTGGCACGGAAGGACTCCGGCGGCCGCATTCTTAAAGCAAATGGCATCTTTTTAGTGTCAGCTCCGCATTAAAAGAGAAGGAGGCAGGGCAGTCAGCCGTAGAGAGGGCTCTGGGGCCTCTGGTCAGACCTGCGTTCCCAGGGCAGGTGAGCAAACGGGTGAGCAGGAGAGTGGTGAGACCTCATGTCCTTTGAGTGTGTCACTCATAACACACTTGTGCAAATGGCTGACATGCACATGCAACCAGGCCTTTTTCCTTTCTAAGGTGTCTGGGATGTCGGATTTTACTTCTCCCCACTATCTATAACCCTACCATTCCAAGGGAAAACAAGAGTGTTCACTCACTGGTGTGTGTTTAAAGGCGTGTGTCTGAACCCGCCATCCACAGAGCCACAGTCCTCAGCATCTTTTATCGTGCCTGTTTGTTTCAAGTGCATTGTCCTGGACCCCACCTTGAATCTACTGGATCAGAAACCTTTAGAAGTGCTGCTTAGACCCCTTCAGTTAGACACACTTCCATGTCTTTCCCTCCCTCTTTGCATTTTAAGACCGTCTTGTGGTATAGCCCAGACTTGCCCTCATGAGAGTCCTCCCGCTTCAGCCTCCCTGGTGCAGGGATGAAAAGTATGTGTCACCATTCATGGCTCCATGTCATTTTTCACACACTGAAATTGAAAAGGACTAAATCTTTTCAAGGGTACTTTAAAAGCAAAGCCAAACAAACAACACCACCTCTTTTTCTGATTCCTGGGCAAAACAAGGGAGGGGGGAACACAGTCATTGCTGCTAACAAAGTACCAACAAAGAAGATGGAGTAGATGCAGACTGTGGGTTTACGGTGACGGAGGAGTTCTGAGTGTGCCCTCCGGCAGTGGGTTTGAGTCACTTGTTTGTGTATAACAAGCATAGATCTGGCTTCAAGTTTTTAGTCTCCTTACATTGGCTGAAGGAGACAGAAAGTAAGAGAGATCGGATGGAGCCAAAATCTTCCTTACAGCCCATGAGCCTTGTTTTTTCTGGGGTAGGGACCTATACTGGAGGCTTCAGCAAAAGGGTTGTCCAAGGTCAACCTGAGTGAGTCCTGGCCAGACAGAGCTACATGGCAAGATCAGGCCTCAAAAGACAGAACAAAAAGGAAAGTGGGTGGGGTTGTTCTTTAATTTTCATGTGCTCTTTATAAAAGGGGCAGAGGACAGGGCTTGTGCTTAGAGAAATGTAAATTTGTGCCCAGCGAGGGTACAGTATCAGACCTGTGTGTCGGGTGGCAGAACAAAGGTTCCAGGCAACCGAGCTGCGGCATTTCCTGCAGGGACAGCCCCCAGAGGCCGGCATTTCCTGTGGCCCCAGCCAGCACCCTCTGTCCATGGCAGTGCTGACTCACGCTGTGTCTGGCACCTCCCCCACAGAGAGGGCTGACTCAGTCTCGTCCAGGCTCTGTTTCCAAGTTGTCCGGCTGGACACAGGCCTTTGCCACTCCCTGACTGGTTTTCAATGGTGCCAAGGTTTCTGGGAAGAATAGGACATTGGAGATGGTGGAAAATGTTTGGCAGATGCCCTGAGTCCAGAGCCAGGGCACCTACTCCTGCCTAAGGGGATAGAGGGCTCGTAGCTATGCCACTGCCCTGCACTATGGGGCAAATTAAGTGGGCAATGCTGAGGACACACACACTCCCCCCACATATACAGTACACACAAACATACACATGCACACACACACACACTCCCCCCACACATACAGTACACACAAACATACACATGCACACAAACACACACACTCCCCACACATATAGTACACACAAACATACACATGCACACACACACTCCCCCCACACATACAGTACACACAAACATACACATGCACACACACACACTCCCCCCACACATACAGTACACACAAACATACACATGCACACAAACACACACACTCCCCCACACATACAGTACACACAAACATACACATGCACACACACACACACTCCCCCACACATACAGTACACACAAACATACACATGCACACACACACACACTCCCCCACACATACAGTACACACAAACATACACATGCACACACACACACTCCCCCCACACATACAGTACACACAAACATACACATGCACACACACACACACACTCCCCCCACACATACAGTACACACAAACATACACATGCACACACACACACACACTCCCCACACATACAGTACACACAAACATACACATGCACACACACACACACTCCCCCCACATATACACGTACACACAAACATACACATGCACACACACACACACTCCCCACACATACAGTACACACAAACATACACATGCACACACACACACACTCCCCACACATACAGTACACACAAACATACACATGCACACACACACACACTCCCCCCACATATACACGTACACACAAACACACACATGCATACACATACACACTCCCCCCACATATACAGTACACACAAACATACACACACACACTCCCCCCACATATACAGTACACACAAACATACACATGCACACAAACACATGCATACATACACACACACTCCCCCACACATACACACAAACATACACATGCATACATACACATACACTCCCCACACACACATATGCACATATACAGAGATATCACATACAAACACACACATACATGCATACATACACAAATACACACTCCCACACACATACACACAGAGACATCACATACAAACACACACATACACACATGCATACATGTACAAACACACTCCCACACACACATATATACATACACACAGACATCATGTACAAACACACATGTACACACAAACACACATATAAACACACATACACACCTCATTTACTGAGTATCCCACTCAAAATCACCTGTAAGAAGTATGTATTAGAATTGAGGACATATCAGCTACTGTTAAAACTGCTAAAAGATGTGGTGTATCTAACAAGCTCCTGTAGACAGTGGTAGGTGGTTCCAGAATCCCAGGCTGAGATTTAAGACGACTTCCTCAAAAGCTCTTCCTCCCCTCTTCCTGAGGGCTTGTGCCTGCCCAGCCTCCATGTGGGGCAGAAGGAGGCAGGAGAGGGGGCAGGAGGAGGCAGGTGAGGGAACAGGTGAGGGGGCAGGTGAGGGGGCAGGAGGGGGCAGGTGAGGGGCAGGAGGAGGCAGGTGAGGGGCAGGAGGAGGCAGATGAGAGGGCAGGAGGAGGCAGGTGAGGGGGCAGGAGGAGGCAGGTGAGGGGGGCAGGAGGAGGCAGGTGAGGGGGCAGGAGGAGGCAGGTGAGGGGGGCAGGAGGAGGCAGGTGAGGGGCAGGAGGAGGCAGATGAGAGGGCAGGAGGAGGCAGGTGAGGGGGCAGG